ATTATGCAGGACCCATGACTCAGGACAAACAACCCCGGCTGATTTCGGAGTTTAAAATTCCGTCCCCTCCAGTGCCCATGCACAAATTTGCCTCAGTCGCCGCCTTCCAGCAGGCTCGCGTGAAACACGTGGGCCATAGCGCGCATGACAGCGAGCACTACAGCACGATCACCACTCATGGCAGTGAGCAGCACAGTCACAACGCTGTAGAAGCTAGGAATAAACGCCGCATCAGCGTTGCATTCCCTAATGTTTGCTTAACGGGACAAGCCAAAGATAGCTCTGGAGTAGGGGGCTCGGTAGGTGCAGACATGGAAGGTCGCCCGCCCAAAAAGGCACCCCCGGACGCCCTGCGTCACACAGTACCGGGTGTCACAGTACCCGGTGCTCCTGCAGCCGCAGTCGGCTCGGCCACCCTGTGCTGACACCAGCACGGGGAGGGCCCGCAGCTCCAGGCCAGGGCACAGTCCCTGTGAAGGCAGCGCCACCACCGCCTAAAGGGCCGAGCATCCCTAAGGCCGCAGTGCAGGCTAAGGCGCCACCTGGACATAGTCCAGAGGAACGATACGCAGCATCCACGCGGCCAATGGACACCCGATATGGGTCGGGCACAGGCCCAGAAGTCGCTGCGAAGCCTCGGAGCATCGTACATCCGAAGAGTGTGGCTGAGCAGAACCGCGACATCGCGAGGTTCCACTACAGAAGCCAACCGACCCACATGGTCGAGACCTAGTGCTGATCTCAGGTTGCATCCATGGGCCGCACCTAGACACGCCTCGCCCAGGTTCCGTGCATAACCCGGACCTGGAGTTGCAGCCATTCTACGTTGGTTCTGCGTCGCCGTCGTTAATTATCGACGTGTTTACTTGGGGCACCAGTAGGGATGACTTCATAAGAAGGATTTCCGAGGACTGGACAGGCGGGTCCTTATATAAGCACCATGAGCACCTGCTCACCTATAAGAAGACGACAAGCAACTCTCGCACGAGTTTCATGGTGCTGTACGTCGACATGACGTGGTTACAGGACTACGACTGGGATGCCATGAGCCCAGCTGACAGGCAGCTGGTGGATGACACTCGCCGGAAGAACCGAAGCCATGTGGGCACGCGCCCCGATATATTGCGGGAGTATGCCACGCACCGTAATTTCATTGAGAACGCAAAGTACGTTCTTAATAATATTAAGGATGCGCAGGAGGCCGGCATTCAGCAGATTGCTGTACACACAGTGTGCGTGGCCAACAGACACAGATCTGTTGCGGGTTGCGTCTTGATCTTTGATTTGGTTCGCCGCATCGAGGACGCCTCTGTTAGCCTCACTCATATGAATGCAGCGCACTCGTGGCCCTATATGGGCAGGCAGTCGTGCAAGGGCCAGTGTATGTACTGCCGGCGCGGGACCACTGACATAGTCAATGAGGTGGCGCGCCTTTGCGACATGTTTGTCGATGCCGTCTATACAGACGGGCCCATCCGCGAGAACGCCACATTGGTGGTAGAGCCAGATTCAGCCCGCCCAAGAAGGGCGAGGACATATGCCGAGCTCTTCAATGAGCAGCAGGTCGCGCTCGGCAACGTTGAGGCCCCTATAACAGGAGTCGGACTTCTTGACCAGCCTCCAAGGCCTGGAGAGACAGCTACGCAGGCTGCGACCCGCATGGGCTTGGCTGGTAAGACCCACACATCGTATGTGGCGAAGTTCAACCCTGACAGTTTGACCGGTGCTATGAATCGCACCGTGAACGCGCCGAAAGGGGCGCCGGTGCCCTCAGTTACCTTCACCACAGGCATGGGTCCAGGTTCTGAGGCTAAGTCGAGCGGCAGCAAAGCACCGCCAGCCACGTCGCCGAAGGTTGAGGCAAAGGCCCGTCCGCTCATAGCAGCGAGTGACCCTGCCAAGGCCAAGGCACCGTCGGTTTCTTCCGCCACAGTGCGTGCCCTGGCAGCGCAGATCAAAGATCTGCAGGATGCCAACCATATGTTGGAGAGCGCCGCCGATGACCTTCGCAACGCTCTACATGATGTTCGCAGGGAGATGAGGCGTGGGAAGATCTCGACGAAACACGTCGAAGGGCCGATCGTGCAGAAGATCGCCTTGCTCGGCTTCTAGAGGAGCGTTCCTCAAGGAGGCGAAGGCGAAGCTCATCGTCAAGCCGTGATCGACACAGATCGCGTGACCGTAGGGATACATCCTACGCGGATGAACACCGAGGAGTGCCACGCGATCACACACGTGATCGAGATCGCCGGGCACTCAGCAACCCGAGAGAGCGCAGCGAGCCGCCGCAGGCCGCAAGGATCTCTCGATGGGGTACTAGGAGGCACCGCCAGGACACAGCTCCTATGCTACAAGACCCCGTGACGAGGCAGTGCATCCAGACCATCCGCCGCCGGGCCACAGAGCCGCAGGGAACCCTGCCATGGATGGAGGAGGCAAGGCGGGGGGCAAAGGCACCCGGAGGTTGACTCCCTATGATGAGGTCGACGATGATGAGTGGGAGAACCCCGGCCCACCGGGTCCTTTAAGGACACCGCCAGCATCGCCGGAGCCACCGCGCTTCCGAGAGCCTTATGATCGGTATCCAAACCGGAACGACCCGCGTCGCACCCTCACAAGACATGAGTATTTTCATGACGAGCGCGACATGTGGACGGATCACGACTGGGCTCGTTTCCACGTGGAAAATCCACGTCCGCCAGGTC